GCATAGAGGCAACTGAGTGAGTCAGCGGACCGAAAGAGTAGAGTGTAGTGTAGAGTGTTAAATGTACATGTATATATATAGGGAAATGAATGGATCATCGAATCAACTAAGCAGTTAATAATAAAGCTAACAAAATGAATATATGCGTAGGCGGTAAGCAATGTTCAAGTATATATATTTCATACAAGCACAACAAAAACAAAGGTACAATAAGTTGTTATAGTACGGATGACTCTGTCCGAATTAAATGAGAACAAACTCAATTGCACGTGAGTTGCTATACACTCTTTAATTTCGTTCCTTCCAATCCATGCCGTCCCATGGTATCTTCAAACCGAGTGTTGTCCATTCCAACTTTGATACTTAGATCTCCCATCAGAATTATTAGGTGCTTTCCTGATCACTTCACTATGATCAATTGCAGCCTCTCATAAAACTGGTCTTTATAGTCTTCGTTCCTATCGATAGTGGGTGCATAACATTGGATAACATTCATTGTGATTCCCTCATTCTTCCTTTTGAACGACGATTTGATTATATTGGATCAGTCGAATTCCCATCGTATAAGTGCATTAGATACTTCTTTGGACAACATCAGAGCAACTACTCGAGTGTGTGGGGCATTTGCTTCTTCGTGAGCGGAGTACAACGGCATCTCTCCTGAATATATCTTTGTCGAGCTTGAGTCCAATGGGTTTCACTGATACCGAGCATCGTCAAGTTGTAGCTCTGAATACCCGTGGCTATTCGATTAGTCCTTCCGATCTCCCACATTGTCTGGACATTCCGTGTACCTATATTAATTGTTTCTCTGGTTGTTAAAAGGGGAACCGACCTCGTCACTTTCGAAGTGTGTTGACTTTCACCATGACGCGTCATAATTCTTCTGAAGGATTGTTCAACTCGGAGGACAGATTTTAAATGGTTTGATTTGTTTATTCTAGTTAGCTTTTTTCAACGTGATTTTTTTTCGACTAGTTGTGGTTGTTGATACCATACCGAACCCTCCTGCTTTTCGTGTGCTTGGGACCGGTAGTAGCCCTAGAAGAGCTACAAGTAGAGTTGGTTGTTCAAAATATATTGTAGAAATATTTTTATTTTAATACTCTACAGAAATAGTTTTAAAATGTTTAGAATTTTTTAATAGTCACGTAAAGTAAGTTTCATTTCTGATTAGTAGAGTGATTGTCGTCATTGGTTCTTTTGTTCAAAAGAACAATCATTTATTTAGTTTTAATAGTAAAACTTATTTCTAGTAAATAAGCTAAATTGTTAATAAATTAATACTGAATTTCAATAGTTGGCATCATGAGTCAATTGAAGTTAGACAACCATGGAAAACCTGTAAACAATGAGCGACCGTTTCGTCCTATTGCGGAACTCCTCATCACTGCGTATCCACGATCCCGCCTAGCAGGATTCGAACCCACGACCTATCAGTCTTGCGCGCGAGCACTTAACCTCTAGACCACTGAGCCGGCCGGCATCCAACGGTGTTAATTTCTAACTTCAACTAGTCCACAAAATCAGGAGACACGTCCATCATGGTCTTAGTGAGTTACTGTCTCACAACAGACTGAGTTGAACTCCACTGGTCACTACTTCTCACTTGAGCTCCAGTTTATACCTCTTGAAGCCAGTCACTAGTGAGCATATGTTGATTTGTGTCAGAAGGGGGTTTTATGGAGATTGTAGTAATTTTAATGGTTGAGGTCATGAGTCAATTTCATAGTGGTCTAGCTTCAATTGACTCATGATCTCAAGAATTGAAATTATTACAATCTCTACAAAACCCCTTCTGATGCTAATACTGAATTATTGTTTCGCAAAAGATTTTTAAATTTTGATTAATGTTACGATGAAATTTTTCAATGAAATTTTACAACGATTGGAATGACTTTTTCATAATTCAGGTAGAGAGATCAAGGGAATTTATTATCTAAGTTCCTTTACTGTTATGTCAGAAATTTTAGGAGATTGATAATATTTTCATCTAAAATATGAATACGGAAATAATAGAAAAACAATATAGTAATCACTCTGTAAAATGTATGTAAAATTAAAACTAGAACTAAGCTGAAGTTCCATAAGTAACTGATTATCAAAGTCAGTTACGTAACAATGAGTTTAGGAATTGAAATCGGATATAAATGTAGCTAATTTGTTATCTGTGAGATTAATAATAAGTAATTAGTAATTCTAAAGCAATCAAAACTAGATAACCATAGTTTTAAAACACATTACGTAACATTAAAATTGTAAGCTAGAATTTAGCAAAATTTAAAAGTTTGTAGGATTTGGAAAGAAGTTTGAGAAACTTATCAATAACTTAGTAAAACATCATGGTATATTAAGAGGCTGTACAAATGTTTTCCGTATACAAAGGCTAAGTTTATTGATATGCATTCTGATGGCTTCTGTTATAATTAAGAGGCGGATTATGGAAGCACAGGGTATGCTTGATGATATTCTATAGGTAATCGTGAAAGCTTGACCGGTGTCAAATCGATACACGAAATTAGAGCTTTCTATTGCTTTCTGTTCTCTTTTCACCAATCATAGAACGTGATGCTCACAAATAAGATGATATATTTATCCGACTATACACCTAGTATAACTGACTTCGTAAAAACAGTTAAAATGGTAAGTACAAATGACGGTAGTAAAACTAGGAAATTTATCTTTATTTAGTGTGCTCACTATTGGTTAGATTAAGAGAGAAGAGTAAAATCTTTTTCACATTAAATGTACGGTCTACAGTTTTTCTTATACGTAGACTATACCACTCTTTAATCATAATTTTGGGAACAAAGGCTCTTTAGGTACTGTTGGTAGTTTAGTTTCCAGATTTATTTCCAGATAAATATTTTGCTTGGAACTCTGTTCGTGGTTTTCTAAATAAACTTAGATACCATTCAAACTTTGGTAACTTAAATTGATTCTTCATCATTTAATTAGTGATCTAAAGCCTTTTGGATAGATTTTGCCAGTTTCTTGGAAATTGTACCTTTAGAACCCCTAAATTTTCGAGCTTTATCATTTAATATTTCGTACAATCGGTATACCCCTAATGGGATTTTATTTTCAGCCTCAGGTAATCGAGACTGAAACTAAAGAAGTATAACCTAGTGAATAGACAAATTAGTGAAATCAGTCGAGTTTCCTTTAATTTAATTACTTTCATCTGATGTATTAATTATTCGGATTACTTTGATGATCACCTCGTGATTTTTCCTCCTGGAATACATGAAAACTTAATTATCATATTAGAGGTGGAGTTTCTACTGTTCTTTAAATTGTGCTTTCTACTTCATTGTTCCATGTTGAAATGAATTATAGTACGACCGGGGCAACAAATATACATTGTTATAAGTAATTCTATCATCTATGAAATCAACCAATTGCGACTAGAGATATTTCAATAAAATCACTATATAAACTATAAAACAGGCCTTAAGGCTTATAATTGTTTTCAGTAAAAACAATTAACAATAATAGTAATAATAATACACTTCATCTAATTTTTTAAATAAAATAATTTAAGAAGTTTTATCCTTTTTGTTACTAATTTTAGTAGTAAATACCAAATAACGCTTCTTATCAAACGACTGAAATTGCATCATCAAAATCTCATTTGTCGATTTGTATTTATGGTGTTGTATTACACTTTTAACAAAGCTGCTTCAGTAATTTTACTAAAATCTATTATAATTTGATAAGTTAATTATTACTAAATTAACTGTATTACATAAGCATAGCAACACAATTTATTTGATAATTGGGGAGTGAAATCGATATAAAGAATTAGTTCTGAATAAACAGCAATATTAAGTTATTTAGGGTGTAAACGATATGATGAAGTCTTACGTCTACTGTTGACTTAAAATATTCAATAATAATTAGTAACTGTAAAGTACATAGACATTTGATACCACCTGGATTAAAGATGAATAGTTTCAGATTGGTTTGTCGAATTTTTTTGCTGTGAATAACAATGATTCGATATTTTAATCTTTTCCAATCAAAGTCAATCTCAAGAGGTAAGTTGTGGTTGTAAACTACTGGGATCTTTTTTCAATCATCCATACTCATTCTAGTTCGTTACGTTAAAAACTGAATTATCTACTCTTTCCCTTGTAAAGTATAATTTCACAACCTAATATTGCTGTCAGGATAACTATGGATGATGTAGATAATATTTGAAGATATCTACTGGAAAGATAGTATTATTATTTTTTGTCTTGTTTTTAGGGGATGGATCATGTAACTAAACAGTTGAACAACAATAGATTATTGAGTTCCAAAGTCTAATTTTTAGACTTTTCTCTGTAAAACAAACGTAATTTCCTACTTATTACCAGTGAAAAGACCTTAGATTCACTAAATGGACATAACTTCGTTATGCTACCTGGTTTCGTTCACTACTAAAACAGAATTAAATCCTGCCAGCCGATCTCATTCCAATATTCTGTACTGAAAGGAATTTTATTCGAGACTGTAATGAATTATAAACCACAGATACAATTTCTGTTTAACTAGACTCATACAAGAAAGAAATTAACGAGATGTCATGTAGTTATTATGTTGGAACTATTGATCAACTCAAACAATTCATTGAAAACCACGATGATCTTTCAGTTCCATCAATGATCACATAACAAAACTCCACTGGTCGCTGCTCTTTAGAACTTTGGTAATCAGTTTTGAACCTTTTCACTAATGAACGTGAATTAATTATTTATGCTTTCTAAAACACATGCAATTTATAATTTTCCATAAAATACGAATAAATATGATGACATAACGATGATTTTACCCTGTACCTTGTTGTTTGAAAATATTTTTCTAATAAAATTAAATTTCTAATTTTTATTGAAGTCTGACACTACTATTACATGCAATAAATTCTTAATAATGTTTCAAAATCCTAAGTTTTGACATTCATATTCATAAACAAGTTGATAAAAAGTAAACCTATTAGGCAATTAGCGATGACTTACCATCAATCATGTAAACTCGATTTCCTCGAGCTAGTAGAGCAGAAATAAAATGCAATTCAGCTCGAACTTTTTTATCTTTAAGTGTTGAAGTGGATACAAAATCACTACGTTGATCATAAACCACAATGGCAGGTTTAACCAGTGATATTTGTGAAATAAATGATACTGGAGATTCTGTATATGGTGCAGGGCATCCATGTGTTTCTGTATACCAAATATCCCATGACTGGATAGCTCGTTTAGCCATAGTTTTTGTGTAACAGTTTGCTGAACGAGCCGTAAGTATATGACCAGATTGGTAAAGCCTCGTCTCTCTCATATCAACAATGATTAGATGAGAATCAGAGGATAATTCTTTGGCTTTACGTAATCTAGAAAGTAGGATTTCTGCTTTTATCATGCCACATGTATTGCTGATTTCATCATGGCTAAAGTTTTCTGATTTTTCAGGTCTCTCTATAACAATAACTTTCGAACTTGACATTTAGAGAGGTAATTCTAATATCACATATATAGTACATTAAGCCAATAACGATTTATTGTAAACATAATCCTACTTCAATATCTGAATCATAGAAACAAGCTGGAAATTGTGCTTTTTTGTAGAGAAAAAGATATTTCATAAATCATTTCAGGTTACCACAAATAACTTTCCATTGTGCTAACAAATCATGTTTCATTTTTTAAAATTATTGGTTAACTAAAACACGATCGATTTTCATAGCATTCTGATTGGTTAAAGCTATTAACCAAATTTAATGACATATAGAATTTAACTTACATGCATGGAAATAATGTCACACAAAAAAAAAATGCACAGGGTACAATCATATTTGTGGATGTTATATATAAATATTCTGAACATTTGACATTTTAATCCAAGTATCTGATATGATCAACTTGTAAATAATATAGAATATCCAGAACGAATTCAATCAAGAAATAAAATTTCATGTTAATTTGAAAGAAATTGATTGGAAAATTGGTTGTCATGTGTATAGTCAACATAATGATTTAAAACAAATAAATCATACAAACATAATCCATTGATAGTTGAGATGTTTTATTGGGTTAATCGAGATAATATTACTACTACTGCTACTACTACCGTAGTGAACAGAACACGGGTGGGGACAGTCGAATGTATTTAGAACAAAATTACAGAGTTACTTGGTAAAATAGAAAAACACTATAGTAAGTCGTTAGTTTGCAAAATATCAATCCATCATATCAACCTGGATTGTTCCTGTTGCAAACATCAATCCATTGTCTTACGCTTCATTGTTCATGCGTTTTCTTACAAATTGCATTGTGTTGTCACTCTTCCATCTTCTGCTGCCAGACATTACGTTCTTTAACTCGCGTCATATACTACTTATATCAATATAAGCAGCACACACCACACTACTAATACTAATACTACTACTAATACTAATACTAAATGGAGTTTAAAATTATCTGAATTTAATCATTTATAATAACAGTGGAAGTACAATAGTGGGTTCAAATAACTGGTACTAAGCCAACACATCTGTAATGAACGAGAACATAGGTTGAGACAACCAATTCTATTTTATTACAAAATTACAGAGTACCTTGGTAAAATATAAGAACCATACATAAAATACTTCATTTGCAAATATTCCATCAATAGTCTCAAACTTCATTGTTCCTTCATTGCCACAACACTTACTCTCTGCTTTTGCCTTTTTTGATTCGATCTTCTCAACCTTCTGTTGCCAGGCTGGCGACTGATGTTATGTACTGCTTATGTCGACATAAGTAACATACACCTCGTATCTTCAGCTATGTAAATTAACAGTCATAGTTGAAACAGCTCAACAAAAGAATTCACTCATAAGAAGTTAAAAAAGAAGTAAACAAAAAATATTTAAATAATTTCATTAATAAAGTTTTTTATCATTCAATGAAAGTTATAGAAAATTTGTGCGATATAAAACCTTCGTTCAAAGCTTATAAACTTTTCAAATGACCTGACTAGCATTTTTTGCTCAATTACTTTTGTAACAGTCTAGTTAGCTGTTTATTCTTCACAATAAGTTGCTCATTTCATAGTAGGAACATATGTGACCCTATTTTTGTATCTTTTTATATATACACATATACACAACCTACCTTCATTGAAAACTGTTGCGGTAAACCTAATAATCTAAACGATAATGATAAGATGTATCGGACGACAGAACAGCAACACAACCTGAATCCGACAATATTTGGTATATTATATGTGAAATAAGTAAAGTATGACGAATAATTTTTACAGATTGAAACCATGAGTCATTTGAAGCTAGACCACCGTGGAAAACCTGAAAGCACTGAACAGCCGTTCCGTCTTAGTATGGGACTCCTGAGCAGTACTCATTCACAACCCCGCACCCCGCGAGATTCGGACCCAGGACCTACCATTCTCGGGCCAGGCGCTTAACAAACTAGGCCACTGAGCTGGCATCCAATGATGTTAATGTCTAACTTCAACCAATCCACGAAGTTGCGCCACCATACAACATTGTCTTCAGTGGGATCGTGGATGCGCACTGCTCAGGTGTCCCATACTAGGACGAAACGGCTGTCCAGTACTTCCAGGTTTTCCATGGTGGTCTAGCTTCAATTGACTCATGATTTCAATCTGTTAAATATCTAAAATCTCAACAAACCCCCTCTGAAAATAATTTTTGCATAAAAAGCTTCAAGAAAACTTCACCTAAGAAATGTGATCAATGGAATGACTTATGAAAATCAGGAATTATTATAGACATCGTCAAATCTGGAACCACAGTCCATCACAATAAAGCCTACCAAGGATAACTATGCAGCGCGGCCAATTGTATCCTTTTACACTAATCAGAATAAAAGGAAATTATTGGGATAATAAAGCCTTTAGTCAAACTATCGGTACTAACAATAATAACCAACATCAATACTGAGAGAGAGAGAGAGAGTAATTCACGGAACAGACAGTCTAGAACAATATGCTATTTCAGTTGTTTGATAGGCTTCAGTCAGGAAATTTTCGGTGTTCACCCAAATATAAATGATTCTGTCAGGTAATATCATTTCATAGTTTGATCTGCTGGCAATCATAGCATATTCTGTATATATTTGTCCAATAAGATTGATATAATCACATTAATTTATTCATAAAAACTTGAATATATATTCACCAGAGTGACACATTGTTGTGAAATGAAAATTTCAAAGTTTATTTTCAAAAAGGGATAACTAAAGTCACCAATAAAAGGTAGGATAATAAAAGTAATTTACTTAGTATTAATCAATGGATGAATTTTTCGTAGTTGAACTCCCCGATAAACATTTTCAGTAAGTTACTATTTTTAGTAACCCACTGTATAAATATAATTTTTAAATAAATTAGGCAAAATAAATAAATTGTAGGCAATGAAATGAGCTACGAATCTTCTAATACCTGAACGTTTTATTATTATTATTATTATTATTAATGTAAAAACCTCTCATTGTTTCCTTAAATTAGTATCAAACCGACAAAAATGGAAATTATCAGTTAAGAAAGCTTATTTGATTAACTGAGTTAATGCAGAATGAAATGAATTCATTTAATTAAAGCAAAATGAAGAGAATTTAACAGAGAAAATCTTCTATTCGACGAAATTAGTACACGATATTTCATAGTTCGGTCCCATTGTAGAGAATGAGAAACCTAATTCACGCCATGAGGACTAGATCAGTATGTTCTCATGACACAATAAATCACAAATTACTTCAACCTCGATAAATACTTACTAGAAATGGCTATCCATCTAAATTTATCGTTACAAAATTAAGACCTAGCCAATAACCTGAAGGATGTTTCGCAATTCAAAAAACTATTTGTCTGAATGTAGAATTTAGAGGCGATTCGGCTTCATGTGTAGGTAATTTTTCTTTTGATAAATCTAATTCCCTTCAGTTATAAAGTAATAGATATATATCAAAGGAAACAAGATTGTTTAAAAGAAATTTTTGTTATATCTTCATTCACACATCGTTTTGATTTATATAGTTATTGGTATTATGAAGAGTTGATACTCCCTGTGAGTGACAGGTTTAAATCTGGTGACTAATACCAGCTCCATGATGATTATGGATAGGGCTCAGCTACGAGTAACAACCAACACGGAAACTAGGTCAAGCGCTTCATGCCGTTTGCTACTAGCTACCTAACACGTAAACACAATCCAAATAATGAAGTCTATTAGATTAGTGAGCTACATTGTTTTGGAATTCGATCGATCATAAAGACTAAAGTAACATAACATTGGTTATCAATCAGTAAGCAGTCGCTGTAAACACCTAGTGAATCACTACACTACTAAAAATAGAAATAAAATAAAATTAGACGAAAACATTTCGCTACAAAAGAATATAAAATAAATAGCTAAATTATTACTTTTTGTTTATGTGAAACTGAATTTTGTCTCAGAGGTATGATTATGTGACATGTTAACTAAATAATGTTTTTTGAAATAAACTTATATAGCTCCGAATATTCATATGGCTCTCTGCATGCAATTTCTTCGTTTTATCTGGTTCTACTCCTTTTAAAAACAATGGTTATTTAAAACAACTCAGACAATCATATGAGAACTCCTCGATTTTTGCCGAACGAATAATTATAGAGAATGCTTTGCTCTTATTCTTAGCTATATGAAAATTGAATGTTTACAAGTAAATGAGACAAACAAGTCCCCGAAATCTTATATGTATCTTTGTACAATTCAGACCTGTTAACTAATCAATGGAGAGTTTTCATCCAGCCTTCATTAAGCTGGTCACGAGATGTAAGGTCTTACAAACATGGTTTAAAAAATTCTTTACAACTGTTGGTACAACTAATTTTTTTTTAGTTGATAGACTATCTGCATATCATTCTTACAGGCAAGATAAACTAATGACATATACCACTTTTGTGGTTTAAACCTAGTAACCAGTACAGTTTACTATCAGACTGAGCACTGAAACTCTATAAACTCATTGCCACTATGACAATTTACTTTTTGAAAACAAACGACCCACTTTTTCAGAATATGTACAAGAACATATTTATTTACAGACAATTTGATATTTAGCATTCCATGTTTATTTTTGATAACAAATGTCGGATCGAAACACGTGAATAATCCTCAAGTTACAATTGATTGATCACTGGGTGGTGATCAATGTCATGCTTGTCTAGTAGTTATTAGTGCAAATCGAAAGATATCGATCATGTTGCAATGTGGCCACCAGTCTAGGTGACTCGACACTGCGGGCACTATGTATTGATATTTAGATGGTAGTTGGAGGTAGTCAACAGGAAACCCTGGACCCGGGTTTCGTGCTACTTGGCACTCGTCAGCAAGGTGTACCTGTAATCTTGAGGGAACTGGTGCTCCCTGGCGGGTTCGATCTCGTGTCACCCAGCTTCACAGTCAGAGACGTTACCACATCGCTATCCGAGCCGTGACT